ATGGGAAAATTACTTTGTAAAAGTAATTAATTACAGTTACAGTTTTTCTCTTTCAAAAAGTAATTAATTACCGTTACAAGTTATTGACTCTGAAAAGTAATTCGTTACAGTTACAATTACTGAAAAAGTAACTTTAAGTTACTTTTTTCATCGGAATTTTTATCAGTAGTATCGATACCATTAGGGCTGTATTCAGAAACATTATTCAACTGCCTTCATATATCGTTTTTATCCTTGTTTTTCACCTAATATTAAACAAGGATGATACACGGGGTTATCAGAGTAATACAGCATAGGACAATTAAAAAAAAAAGACTGGCTTACTTATTTATATGTTATATAATTTTATTCAAAAAGATAAAAAAATTGTACGGCAAAGACGTTTTTTCATTTAAAGTAATATAAACACATATGAATATGAATGTGAATATGAAATAACATACATTTACAATGTTTTTTGTAAAAGAAATTCTTTTTATATTCGGCTAAAAGTTGCAAATAAATTCCAGCACTAATCCAAAATAGTTTACAGCCGTTCACTGAGCGCTCTTGTATTTGATTGGTGGATTTCATTAGATCTAAAAATATAGACCAAATAGGTACAAGAGTTCATTGAATGCTGCTTTAATTAAATTGTTTTCTTCCGATTAATTAAATATTTCGAAGTATCTGTAATGCCAAGTGGACACTACCGCACATTAAATTAACTAATAAGTTTAAAATATATAAAATATCTATGAAAGTAAAACTATTAAATTAGGTACTGGTTACTTAAAAGATGTAACTAAGTTAAGTTACAGATGGAAAGAAAGTAATGAAGTTCAGTTATAGTTACTGAAAAAAAGTAACTTTAACTGTAACTACGTTACAAGTAACGAGTTACTTCCCATCCCTTATTTTTATAAATAATTCTTTTTCTACCTTCGTCATAAATGTTATCTTTTCATATTATTATAATACCATTTCAGAGGATATATTATCGTGTGTTATGACGTTATAAATTATTTCGTACCATTGCTGGCGTTCCTGTCGAGAGTGCTTTTATAACTCTCTATAATAGGATAACATTGACTCCAATATAATAATAGTCTGCGTTCGAGAAATGAAGCTATTATTAGACTTCGTTCGTCCGTTCCAGAATTTAGATCCAATTACGGTAAAAGCGTATCGCGCGCTATCGCCAGCCGCCACCACCATGGTAATCTTAAAATCGCATAAAACATTCAGAAGACCCGTCTAGGAAATAGTCCAGGAAACGTAGTTCCGAAAGTCATTGAATTATGAAGTGGGGACAATGGATTACAGGAGAAGGTTGGTTTCCGCGCCGGCTGCGGGCCGGATGAGAGACGCGAAACTTGCAAATCAGTTCAGGCGGGACATTTCGTTTTAATGCGTACCTTCTCTCGTGCACTCGAAAACGCGCGAGCGAAGCTTAAATCACTCCAAAGGACACTTACGTTTCTCTAGTCAACCGAGATGATTTCTTCAACCGCGAAACGTCAGTAGACACTGTAGACAATGATAATGAGTCGATCTTGCGTCCGAGCAGAATACTCAACACAGCGGAATTCTATCGAATTTTCAGTCCAAATTAGGATTCCGGCCTGAGAAGTCCTCACCAGCAATTCTCCGTCCAATTTCAGAAAAGTTTCACTCGGACTTTGTGATTTTTCCCCGTCGAATCGTGTGGTTGATCATGAATTTTATTCACGTTGGTCATTTTGGGATGCGCAGTTTCCGCAGTTTTCACGACTTTAAGGTACTCTAGGAAAAGCGATTTGCTTAAAAAAATTGCAGATATCTACATATTTTAAAAATAAAGGATTGTTAAAAGTAATATTATATAAATTTATTACGAATGATGCAAGTAGTAAACATTGATATTTTAATTATCAACTTATTGAGATGCGTAATTGTTTTTATTTAGTTAACGTAGAATCTTATAATCTAAAGTTTACAAACTTTTAAAAGGAATCGAATGGGGTGTACTATGTTTCCGCTTGTAACGCTTCCAAATTTTGTACTCTTTTGCGCTTTTGTTCATGTGCAAACATATAGCGAATGTTTCTTTTTGAATGTTTCACTTCTTGCGATATTACGAGTATTCGATCGAAATAATTTTCCGTTTCCGAAGAAAATATGTCAGATTTTTTGTCCGTCTTATATTACTTTATTCTTTCTCGAAATTACTTCGATCTTTGTTCCTTGCCAAAAGAAAGTAAGAAATCTTCTTTTGGATGTGCTTCATTTATTCACAGTGGATTGGCAGAAATTTCTTCTCGAATGGGAGGAGCAGCATTTAACTGCATTTTTGCAAATTCTTTGACGCGAATCTTCTGTGGTTTCTTTGGCATGAATTTGCCTTGTCCAAGAAGATATCTCGGATTCCGGTTTAGAGAAATTTTCACATCGGCGGCGGTTTTCCGCGGATTTGCATCTTTCAGTCGAGAACGCTAAATTCCTCTTAGGACGAATCTCGCGTTGAATCCGCGAAGAAATCCATTCAATCTGTTGCATGGCGTAACCTATGACTTTCCACGATTTATTTCATGCTCTTTCTCACAAGCAAAATCGAGATTTTCTTCCCTCTCGTGTCTGTCTCGTATAACTCGATGAAAGTCTGTGTCTTATGTGTTTAAATTATTTCACGTTTCACTTGCTCCAATTTCTCCGATTAACTTGTCGTTAAAGAAACAATTCTTAAGTTGCAATAATTTTTAATAGATCTTAGATGTGTAATTGTTCGCGCGGATAAAGTTGAAGAAGTCGATAAAGTTCCAAATGAAGCAAAACTGAAGAACTTTTTTGTGTCATAAAGAACAAACGTTCGTTTGGCTGAACGTTTTTCCAACTATTCGCGCGATTACTTCTGGATTTTTTCCCCACAAAAAAATAGATAGGAACAGTCGTGGAATATTTCGGGATGTGACGTTTTATTATTTTTCCGATATCGAGTAACGCTTTACGTGTTGTCTTGCGGAAACATGTACGAGAATTTTTCTAATTGCCGTAACTCCGCCAAATATTAGTTTTGGTTATATTTACTTTCCACACATGTCAAACCGCGAGAACATGAAAAATTTAGATAGTACGAGTATGTTATTATCTCATGTGGTTTTGTTCAATATTTTTTGAATGTTCGTTTCAGCATTCAATCAGTATTTTTATTAATTTACTTTACATTCGTCAATACCATTTAAATTAACGTTACTATATTTATTTTGTATAAAATCATACGCTTTCGACAAGTAAAAATGCATATGATATATTTTATGAATTCAGATCAATCAAAATTCTGTCAATCAGTTAGGATTAAACATGTAACATTAAAGTTAAAAATAATATTATTGAAAACTTGATAGATAAATACAAACTGCGTGGTACAAGTAAATTGTCATTTACTTTAATGTACGTTTGTCAAATTAGTCCGCGCGCGAAAGCAAAGCTAACAAGATTCACGCCAGGGAAAAGGTTTCCGGAGATAACTCTGAAAATCCTTGTCGGGGCATCACCTCCGTGCCGGAAGGTTGATCCTTTGCGGTCAATCCGAGCGTGCATTTTCCAACTTGCGCGAAATGTAACAAGAAAACAGAATGCGCGTGTGACGGCGTTGCTCGTTTTCTGCCAGTTTGTCAGATGCTTTTTCGTAATGGGATCAACGTTTACTTTTAGGATTTAATTATATAAAGCTGCTGCTCAGAATAACAATTTGACGGACGTCTTCATTCAGCAAAAAGAATCCAAGTAAAAAAAGTAGAAACGGGATCGAGGGAAGAAATGATAGGATTCGTGCGATACAATTGATCCAATTCAATTACGAGACAGTGTTGGCACACAAGCTTACTGGTAGAAATCGATGTAATTGCACTCGTCCTTCGTGCTGGACTTTACCGAAAATTGGATTTCTTGTCGCCGCAAATCCTCCAACAGCTCTCACGACATCATCGTTTAGTTCACCGCATCTTTAATTATCCGTTTCTGCGTTACCTCTTTGAACTTCTGCAACACATTTATAGTTAGCAACACGTTCGCATAAATAAAATTCAGAGCAGAATCATATTAACTATTTATAATTTTAATTCAACAAAATTAAATCTAACAGAAGTTATACACGTAATAACAATCAGTTTATATTTGTATCTTAATAGAAACATAATAAAATTATTAATATATGTATACTTTAAGCTAAAAAAATTTTTGTTTAAAAAATAGTAAAGTAAACTTGTTTAAAAAATCTTGTATTTAAATCATACTACGGCTGTGATTTCGTTTAAAGATGCTTATAACACTTTGGACTATATAGAATGTAAACAATTAACATTTTATACCGATTACTATTTACATTTCATGCCGTCAAAGCGTTGTAAACATCTTCAAATTGAAGTTATACTTATGATACGATTTAAACAATTAGTTTACCCTAACAAACAACCTATACTATACAGAACTCGATACAGATTTTGACAGATATTCTTTAAAAAGCTTTATGAGTTTGTGGTAATGGTTTGCGTAATTGAACTATAGTAATAAATGTAATATTGAAGTTAAATTAGCGATTTCCTTATTTTCTCGTGCGTAACAATCGATATTATTATGATGTTGACTAATTAATGTCACATCTTCGATTCGCAAAGCAATGTCGAATGATTTGTAATTCCATTCATCTTGTTCTATCTCCTTGATGTAACTACAAATGGTATATACATTGAGGCTAAACAATGATTCGTGAAAGCTCTTGAAACATCAAACGCAAACGAGGCAGGGATCCTAATGAAGCATCCTGCAGACTCAAGTATTCTACCGCACATTGTCTCCGCATTATGAGCACGCTCGCTTGTGTTTACGTTGGTTCATATACTTTGAAAGCAGGGAGCCACTTTTAATCATTTCTCCCATACATCTTTAATCACTGTATCATTTAGTGCATCGTTACTGTCATCTGTCATTGCGATCATATATTTTGTACAATTTAATAGTTATAATGACATTTGCTTCACCTGCTGAGGTACTCTTGACACGATCGTGGTTATTATTATTCGCAATGACATTTAAAATAATTTAGTCTACTAGAAAGTCTCGTGCCTTCCTATGTTATTTTGATCATTCTAGTAGCTAAAAATATCTCTTTCTGTCTTTCTGCCCGCACAATTATTTTTCTGGAACTAACGAGTTCGCATCTCTCTATTGATCCACCACCGTGCAGGAGGGATTATACCCATCGTCGAATCTGTCTCATCAAAACGTGGATCGCACATATCTTTACGCTTGCACGAGAATGCACACGCGATGCATTTCGTATATGATACAAGAAGAAGGACCCCTCGACAGGCAACGACCTCGAATTGAGCCTCGAATTCTTTTATCTCCAATCTCGCGAAAGAGAAATGCGAGCACTGTTACGTCGCAGAAAACTGAAAGAAAACTGACGATAAGAAAAAAAAAGAATAAAAGAAAAGAAAAAAAAAGAAAAATGGATGGCGAAAAATCGAGATGAGAAGAGAGGAAAAGAATGAAATGTAAGAATGCGGATGTAAGGACTCAGCGGGATATCGTAAAATCGGGAAGATATTGTCGACTGATCACGAGAGCGAGTCTCTCTTTCTGTCTTCCAGGCACGGCGGAGACAGACGCGGTACAAGCACTTTTGGCCCGTTACCTTCAGCGTCGTCTTCAAGGCTCTCAGCTGTCAACGCCACCACCTCCATCGGTCCTCTTCAGTAACAATCATCGGGCCCACATCCGACAGGCCACTCAGAGAGGTCCACCCAGCAACAATCTTGTCTCGCGAAATGTCAGTGGCAATGATGGGGACCACCGTCCTGTCCTTGAGGATTATGAAGATTATGAGGACGACCTCGAAGGCTACGAGGACAGCGAGAGAAGCAGAACCAGATTCGATCTCTTGGCGGGTAAATCGCGATTCACCTTGAACAATATCTGTGACCGGTAGGGAGAGGCTTGTTGTTTATAAGATTCTTTAATTGGAAATCAACGTTTTTCTGTGGCGTCCATTATCTCGTTTTCTTTCTCGAATAGGAAAAATAGATTTTATTCGTATGCATATGTGATGGAATGCGGGTACAGAGAAAAAAAACGAGAAAAAAAGAATACTTTTGTACTAAAATGGTCGTACATCGTGATATCGATGATTGGTTGTTTATTATAGATTGCGACCAGAAATAAAAAAATAGGGAAGAAATTATGCAACACTTTTGCATAATTTCTAGGATAAACGGTACTAATTTTTTTTTAGAAGTAAAGTTAATATTGAAAAAATTCTCTGAATAATAATATATTGCTTTTTATTATTAGAAATTAACATAATTATTTAAAAAGCATCCTGCTTAATAATTTAATTATAATAGCTTATAAAAATTTATGAAAAATTAATACTTTTCTTTACGAAAAGCAAGCATAAATTTTGCGATATTTTATGCAAATGGTGCAGATGGTTATAAAAAGACAAATTCACGTAGATTTTGTTTTCTCAACAGCAGTGCAACAAAATTATCGTTGATCGTCTGTAATGCGATGACAAAGGTTTAGGGAAGCATGCATTGACGTCACGATGCCCTGCTTCTGTTCCGAGCTTGAGTTGCACTGAACCGTAGTGAATCGTTCAGGATCGGACATACATGGGACTACATCAACAACACGCTCTAAATCGCACGTGTTATCACGACACGGTTTTATGATTGTCAACACTAACCCGATCCCATCGATTTTGACTTTTTAATGAATTAACATAACTTTTATATATAATCAATAATTATAAGAATAATGTGAATATCGTAAAATAATATAAGGCGAAATCGCGATTAAAAATTAGATGGTAATTAAAAGATAAATAAAAAAACAATTAAAAACAGTTAGATTTTAAGTGTTAAAACTGAATTTGTTATCTCTCATCTTGATAAAAATAACGATTCTAAATACATGCAAAATCTATTTTGATAAATCTTTCGTGTGAGAGAGAGAGAGAGAGAAATATGAAAATATATTTTTAACATAAAAAAAGATATTATGAAACATAACGGAACGTTTGAAGGAACTCGAAACAACATTTACTTTGATGTATGTCGGGAATTGTTAGATAAGAGAATACAGTACTGGAAAATCCGGATGAGATTCAACGAGAAATAAGCAATACAGAGAAAATGGTGATGAAAGTTGGGCAAGTACGTAAAATCGAACGGGATCAACATAGGATAGTTTCACGTTGTTCCTATCGGTTTTCTGTTTCAAAGCTTTGACGCGGCTTTTACAGTCGCGACGCGCGGATGGATTTTTCAACCCGAGTAATACCTGTTCTAGCGATTCGTTTTGCACAGAATTGGGCGATAATTTAATTTCTCTTTGTTCCCAGTAAAAGTCTGGCATTTCGCACACATCAAATAATTCCCGCACTTTCAAATTTCTATGACGCGGTTGATCGATATTATACAGAAGTCGATGAAATACCAACAAACAATGATTTATATATTTTTGACATTATATTAACGTCGAACTATAATGCATGTTTCGGTAAATTTTGCAAATTGTATTTCGAGCATTACCAAATTGAAGAGTTGTATTGTACAAAAATATAATATTATTTCTGCATTGTTATTAATTTAATGTTCTTGTATCATTTATATTGTTTATTGTTATTTAAGCAATATTAAACTACACATTTATTGATGAATAGTATATATTTTGAGAAAAATATATACAATAAAAGCTTTATATATATTTGTATTATGATCGAATTTAATGAAGTGCTACTCATATTTGCAGGCGCAATTAATAATATTGAAAAACATTTAATTTAACTCCATTTTTATTCAGTGAGAAAAATGATATCGTTCGATTTAATAACTTGAAAAAGAGATTTACCTTTTTTACTATTAAAACATTTTCTTTAGTTTACGAGAGTACATTGAATTTCTGCAAGAGAAACTTTGTTACATAGTCACGAAAACTTTAAAATTCAATGGAACGTATGGTGGTAGAAAGGTTTCTGAATAGAATCAACTTTTCCGAGGAATATCCTATACGAGGGTATATAACTTTATTATGATTCCGATAAAAGTAATATATATAATTGATAATATCGATATATCAATATAAATTTAATACTGCATTCTAATCAATACGTATAATGTTATTTTTGTTCGTTTATCGAAAAATGCTGATGAAACGACGGGCAAAATATAGTATCTGTTATAACGGGTGCTGACAATGAACTACCATTTACAATAGTTCAAAAGATGTGCGACATAATGGGGACACTGCAGAGAGAAGACGAAATTATCGACACACTCTGCATAGTGTCAATATTTTTCCTCTTCTCCCCCTTGTTCTTTATCCATACTTTTTTTTTTTTAGAGAAATGATTTCGCAAACGTAATTCCTTTTTTTACCATCCAGCGATTTAACTCTACGAATTCGATATTCCATCGGCCGCGCTGTCGTGGATTTAATTGAGCACAAGGGGTTTCGATATTCGTCGAATGCAATATGCAATCGAGCGACCTATCCAATCAAATTCTCGTACGCTGTCGACTGCACTCCGATGTCCGGCGAGAGACTCTGATAAGTTTTACTCGCTGCTCCTTCATTCTTGCGTTGTGATTTTTTTCTCATTGTCGCATGCTCTTAAATTTAATACTGCATCGTAAATCTTGAATTTTATACGTGTATGTTTCATACGGTATTTTAATCTTATCTGAGATAAATGTTTTCGTAAATATTTTCCAAAATTTCTACGAATGATATAAATTTAATTCATAACAGGAAAACATCTTTCAATGTGTGTGTGTGTGTGTGTGTGTGTGTGTGTGTGCTAAAGGATGCTAGAGGAAGTTCTTAGGATTGACGAAAGTTTCGTTAATAGTTTTAATTTTTTAAAGAACTGTTCAAGAACAAAATTGTAAAAAATAAGTTCGTGAAACATAAAATCATACCAAATGGTTACTATTTAAAAATTAGAAAAAGTCCCAGGGTTACTGGGATTCATATCCCCAATTATGAGTTAATAAAAATGAATAATTATTTATTATAACATTATCAAAATTAATGTTTAATTTAATTGGCGGAAGTTTACAAATCACATACTGAGAATCAGTCTTTTTACATATTACCTATTTAAATTACATGAAATATGTAGAATTAAATAAGAAATGATACTCAAATTGACATATGAGTATATGACAATATACTCAAATTATATAAAAACAATAAAAAAGATTATATAACATTAACAATTATATAGTCAGTTATGTGATTACCCAAGCGTATTATTACACATTGTTAATTTAAGATTGCACAATTTATTTTTGAATTACTGTTTCAAAAATGCACATAATTAATACAAATATAATTTTTTTCTTGATATTCAGAATGTCAGAAACGTAGAAAAATCTGCTTTGTGTAATTTTCATTAATTTTTTTCTCGTATTTTTTTTCTCACTGAATTTTTTATTCGAGAGATTTCCAACGATACTTATGAAAAGGAAACGGGCGTAAGAGCAGAGACAGATATGGTCGAGATGAAAAGAATTGTCGACGGTACTTAAGATATCACTGCAATGGACCGGCTGTCTCTCAGAGGGAAATGCATTTGCGCGTGGGCCGCACAAACGAGTACTCCCGAAGTCGCTGTAGAACGGCTTGACAAAGACAAATAATGCACGGTTTTCGCAGGTACGTCCCATTCATGCAAATTTTTATGAAATTTTCATGAGGTGGGCGCGATATACTATACGCGCGAAGTTTAAGCAGGATTTGCCCTTGAAGTACCGATATGCTACTCTAATCCGATGCCGCTTAAGCGATTATGCGTAGTCACAAACACCACCTGAAACGTTTTCGAAAACACCATTTGTCTCCGTCATAAATTTACTGATGTGCATGTGAATATAATCTTTAAATTTTTCAGAATAATATCTCACTTAAAATGAGTGAAAATTCACTTCTCAATCGATAGTGAAAATACTCCCACTCGAGATGGAGTGATCAATCATAGTTAATATTTCATTCGTTTGGAGTAAAACATCAGTCAAAATGACTTTAATATAAAATTAGGTTTTAATCTAAGAAAAAAAAATTTAATTCTGTATAAGTAGCATTTTATCTTATTAGCATTTTATCTTTTGAATAAGTCGATGTTTCTATGTAATATCAACTCAACAAAATACATCGTCGATATGATGACAATACGATGATTAGTATGACTCGTTTATCGAACTTCTTTCTTGTATACTGTTTTCAGTTTACTCTTTAATTAGAAGTGAAAATATTCACTTCATGATATCGAGTGGAAAAATTCACTGCATATGAACGAAAAGTCACTCTAATTTGAATGATTGTGTAATTATTCCATTTTTCGAGTAAAATTTTACATCAAAGAGAGTACGGATGCATGTTTGTTGTCATGAATATCCTCATGCATACCGCAATAATTAAGATTGATGATTTATTCGGTACATTTTGCAGTTAAATAAAGAATGGAAGAACGGAATATATGGACTGATTCGAAACATTGCACTTTCAATAGGAAGATATCAACTGCGAGTTTCTCATTCTTTAATTAAGAATGAAAAACAAAGAATCACAAACATCCTCGAATCCTCGATTTTTCAATTGAGAGGATCCGATTTTTTTAATCAAAGCATTTTATTTATTTTCTCCTTCTTCTTTTAACTATGTTTTCAAGAAATAAAATATAAGTTTTTTTTAAGAGAAAAGATGCAAAACATGGGAAATTGTTAAATATTTATTAGAAAAGGCACGTAGTTATAGTGTGCTTAATCTTTTATCAAACATTATTTAAAAATTGAATTTAATTTTTTCCCTATTAATTAATTTTTTTCAATTGTAAAAAATTGAAGTATAATCTCTTTTTTTTTTACTTAATAAGTGTTTTGTT